GTATTGTATGTAACTCCTGGGTCACGGTGAGCTATACCTACTGAAAAATGGATTTGTTTAGCTCAGCTTTGGGAGAAAGGCTGTCAGCTTCTACACAGAAATCAGGCTCGTTGGTTATTACTATAAATAGCAGCGAAGACAGAGGTGCTTCACCTGGGGTGAGTTAGCATGGAAGCTATTCGAGCTCGTTTGGGGATTATTTTTCAGTACGAGGGAGTGATTTCAGTCTTGCCTTGCCCTGCCCTGCCCACGTTAGATCTGCCCAAACTTGCTTTGGAAGTTGAGTCTTGCGTAGTGAGACTCAGGAGGAGCAAATAGCCCTGAGCAGGATACGCTGGAGGAGGAAGAGGAATCTGGTGTACTGGTAGTACTCGTTACTTTTCCTAACCTCGTTTTTGTCAACTGAGTTGCAGAAATACTCAGTAGAGGTGTTGCTTGTTCCTGTATGCCGCTGGACAAACCCACGTACTCTGTAAGCTGCATTTCAGTACCTCCAGGTTAAATGCAGTGTTTTAGGAAGTGCTCCGTGTCCTGCGCTCTTCAAGGGCGTAGGTTGTCTCTGGTTCCGAACAAACATGCCATGCTGATAGCAGGGATGGTCGTGCAGTCTTCGCTGGTGATACCGGGGAGCATCGTGAAGCGAAACTGTTGGCGTCGTTGTGCCACGCTTCTCCTGCGGTGTCACAGCTTTTAGTGGGTTACTCGGCGGTCTTGAAATAACTGACAGAAAGTGGAAATGGTTTTGTATCAGAATGAAATTGAAGTGTTGAAGTAATTTGCAGGTAGCAGAAGCCATTTAATGTCTGTTGCTTGCTCAGCTGTAGCAGACTGTTGGGTATCTACGCTTCCTAAGCTCCCTCCTTGGTACAGCTGTGTACAGACATGTGTTCATTCATGTAAGGTGCATGGTCATCCTGAACCAGCAAACAGATAGTTAGGGGCACCTTTTTGCTCACGAGAAGCTGGTGCGATGATGTGACAAACAACTTTCTGGAATTCATACCAGCCAAAGCGGCCACCACTCGCTCTGCCCTCGTGCTGCCTTCGGTGGTGTGTTACCAAAAGCTGGCCAATTGCTTCTGAAGCTCCTGTCCTGGGTGCCGGCCTGGAGCGAACGTGGTGTGGCCTGGGAAGGTCAGAGAATGCAACTGTTGTCTTTTCATGCTGATCATAAAGGGAAGAGGTTTTGGGGAGAGTGATGTGTGTCATGTAGGTGTGTTAGTGGTACAATAGTTTCTCCTTTCAAGACAGGCTGTGTTAATAGCATCTGAAGAGAGTAATAGCGTGTGCATCCTGCTCAGCTATGTTTTTTAGGGGTTCTTTACCATGCTGCAGGCTTTCTTCAGAGCCTGTCTGAAGCCTGCTGAGGTTTGGCATGTGTTGAACTACCGGCTTTCTCTCCGGTGTGCCCAGATGTCTGCCAGAAACTTCAGGTGAAGACAGAGTTGTTTGTGCTGTTGCGGTGTGACTTCAGAAGAACTCGTTCTTAAGAAGTGGTGAATGGGAGTGGAGGAGGCATTCCCCGTCGAGGAGGTGTGCTTCAGGAGCGGTCGCTGGCAATCGCGCTGCTGCAGGTTTTATGGAGGATTATAAGGATGGGGAAGCTGCTGATGCCGTTTTCTTGTGCAGAGGGTAAAAACCTGTTGTCATGCAGTTGGCTTCCTGCAGATCCACAGGAAAATCTGGTGGATTTTGTAGTTCTTGACAAAGCAGTGGTACTTATTAACCTGCTGCAGTTCAGTTCCAAACCAGTTCTCTCGCTTTTGTTATTTCTGGTGTTCTGCAGTAGAGACAGATAAGACCGACACGTGGGCAGTGGCCAGTTGATAGGATGTTACCAGATAGTCACGAGACCAGCAGTTTGGAAGCGCAGATGCCGGTAACCGTAGTCTTTGGAGGCTTGTTTTGGGGCTGAAGTTCGTGGTGGCAACTAGTGTGAAAGGAAAAAGAAAAGCACAGCTCTGTGCCCCTTCTCAGGGCTACTCAGTGCTTCGCTGCCTGCTTAAGGGCTGTGATGCTGTGGCCTGAGGAGGTGTCCAAATTGTTCGTGTTAGGTGGCAACTTCACTTTCTGAGCGTGTGTGAGACCCATGTTGTCTTTATTTTGTTCAGGTGGCATAACAGTATGTTTTGCAGGAGCCTGACCTTTTCCACTGTTTTGTTGCTGGTTTTGTTTGCTGGACAGGTGGATTAGGTGCGTCTGCATTAGGATTCTGGGCTGTGTGGGAGTCTGATTTGCTTTCTGAGTAGTAAATGATTTTTTTTTTATTGTCCATAGCTCCAGAAAAGGTTGCCAGCGATGTCACTGCTGTTTTGATAATCATAACTTTAGCAGGAAAAGTATATTGATTCCAGGCCACCCTTGTCTCTTGCTGATCGGACGTTGGGAGTTCGGTCACCTGTGGGCAGAGGAGAACAAAACAGGCTTTCTTCAGCAGCTGAAAGCTGTCAGGGAGCTTAGCCCATCCTTGATGATGAAAACATCTTCTCGAGTGGAAAAAAAAGACTCTGAGTGAAACAGTAAGAGAAAAAACTTCACTTGTAAAGTCTGAGAGACACCTCGGGTGCCGTTTAATTGGCTTGTGCACTGTTAGATGTGTTCGTAATGAGTGACACAAAACCAGAAGGTTCTTTAGAAGTCTGGCAAAGCGGAGGCGTAGGAATGCAGGTGAAGTCCAGAGGCTGTTCCCAGGGGGTACCCCATGTGAGTCCCCTCTTCCTTCCCCAAACTTGCTTTCAAGCTGGAGCACCGCTCGGACTAACCTGTCGGGAGAGCAGAGCCTGTGGGTGGACACGCGAGAGCGGACGGCGTTGGCAGACACCGGTAGGGTCTGGCAAGCTGCGAGCAGCTCTGAAGTACGGCCTTGCAGCCGCAGGGGTCTGCGAGGACAGAAGGCGGTTCTGCAGGTCTCACGTATGGACATTTTTACGGATGCAACTTCTTTTTCCTGGCTGGTGCCGATAGCTCGTGGCCTGCTGTGTTTGCAGCCAGCGTCAAGTTTAACGCTTGGTTTTTTTGTGAGCCCTAAAATTCTGGGACTAAAAATAAATTTGTTGCAAGAAGTTATTTGTTTTTCAAAGAACTTTGGCAGCAATGTCAGTGTTTCTTTTTCTAATCGTTTCTCTGAGACTGTCCTAGTTAAAAACCTCTGAATTGTTGTGTCCTTGAAGTTCTTTGCTTAATTTCACCACTGGATACACAAGCTGTAACCGCTGGTTAGGGCTTTTTGTGGCCTTTTTTTTTTTATGATTGGGGTTTTATTTTGTGGATTTTGTTAGTTTTTCTTTTCGAGAGCTTTGTATACATGGCTGTCTGTATTTGCCAGGAATGACTTTTAAACCACCAGGCATAGTAAGATTGCAATTTTTTTTATGCATAAAGGCTGGTGAGAGCATCTCTCTCTGCTGGGGTTTTGGTTGTGAGGTTAAAAACTACAGATGGAAGACCCTAATCACACGTTCAGGGAGCAGTGACGGTTGTCAGTGCACCTGGTTATCGGGCTTTCTCCCCATGCTGAAAAACCCCAACAAATGTAAAACCTGTGGCGAATTAGGGAGCTAATCTGCATTCTTCGGGGGGATCCTCTCCTGTGATGCTGAGCAGTGAACCAGCAGACCCTTAAAACACTAAAAGGGAGGAGCGTCAGGCCAGCGCACGGTGCGTTGTTTGTAGGGTGCTCGATGGTTTGGGGGGCAAGGCGCCTCTGGAGCCGCCCCAGGTTGCGGAACTGTTTTTCACTGGACTGTAGCGTTGGCTTTGAAGGGTTCATCACCGACCCCTGGGCAGCTCCAACATAACCATTGCCAATGTGCCTGCCAGAGCTGTTAGAGACGATAGCTGCATCAAACCCTGCTTCTTCCTAAATTAGCTACTTTGGCTGTTAGTTCTGGTGGGGAAGAAGACAGAAAGCAGTCAATCATTAATTCCACAGAAACGTAACGTGATCTGTAAGATTCTACCCCTTCAGCATTAGTGCAGTTGATGTTTTCTTCTTCCCTGGAGTTAGTTTTTCGGCGGATGAGCTCCTTGCACTTGTTCTGAACAGCATGGTACTGTTATCTGTGAACGGGTGACTAAGGCCTTTTCCGGCTGTGAAGTTAGAGCTGATGTTACACTGGAATGTAACGGTAGTGTAGATTTTTGTCCCTGATGTGCTGTGAAAGCTTACAGTTGTTTGTCTGTCTTTAAAACAACATCTTTTTGACTGTGGCCCAAATAAATATTCTTCTGAATTGAAATATTTGAGGAATGTTTTCTGAATGAATCCTGCTGTTGAGCAGAGCCGCCAGGCTTATGTCCAACTTCTGCCTCATCGGGGTATTGGTACTCCTGGATTATTATCTTTTTAATTAGTAATATTATTTAAATTTTTTTAGCAGAAAAGACCAGTGTGGGTAGCTTGGTGTTTCTTGTGCATAGGTGAGAGTGGACGTTTGCTTTGACAGGCCAGAGATAACCACACGAGTACTCGGGTGCTGCACTGTGTGGCAGTGCTTTGGGACAACGTAGTAAGCGCAGAAGTCCTTTTGCCTGTTTAGCAGTGAGTTAGGGTGGGATCCCGTTTCCCTGAGCCTGTGTGACCTGCACTGTGGTAACGGCCAGTCTCTCACCTGTGCGGTGGAGGCGTGGTGCGGCGCAGCAGTCCTGTAGCGCCATACTGTGTTACCGTTTTGGTTCGGGAGCGAGAGCTGAAAATACCGTTCGCTGCTGGGCAAGTGTCCCCGATGTGCTGCCATAACAAGGGGTTAATGAAATTGGCAATTAGCAAACCTTGCATTAAAAAAGAGTGGCTCAGTCATTAAGTGGTGGGCGGTGGATTTGAGCTAACATACTAATTTGCCGACAGGGAAGGGGCACAGCAGGGTTTACTGCTGAGTGTGGGTTTGTGCCTTGCTTTTCACTTCCTTGGGGCTGACAGAACTTGTTTCCCAGGTGTTGGGATTCACCTGTTCCATTTTCTCCCTTTCAGTGGGTGCTGTGTGACCCGCTCGCTGCCCAAGATGGTGAAGCTGGACATACACACGCTGGCTCATCACCTCAAGCAGGAACGGCTGTATGTAAACTCAGAAAAGCAACTTATTCAAAGGCTCAATGCCGATGTGTTGAAGACGGCTGAAAAGCTGTACCGCACAGCATGGATTTCCAAGCAGCAAAGGATTAACTTGGACAGGCTGATCATAACAAGGTGACTTGCGGGGTGAGGGTGGTCCTGGGGAGAAGCAGCTCCTAAACTGCTGTGAAATGCAGCAAATCCAGCAGATATGTCACACTTAGTGCCTGGAGTCCTTTGCTGTACTCATCATAAAAATAGGAAGGCTTTAAAATCAGTCTGAATTAGGGAATCTGACTCACCTGAAATGCACTTGTTTTTCATACATGTGCTTGCATCTGTTCCTAGTTCATGGGAACAAGCTCTCCTTATTCCTGGTGTTGTAAATCATTTGGATTAACCGTATGGAAAGACTCTTTTCCTTGGTGGTAGTCTTGTTAAGAGATTGACCACGTGGCATTTCTTAGGAAGTTTGTTTGCTTAACTGTTCCAATGTTTTTCTTTAAAGTGCTGAGGCTTCTCCAGCTGAATGTTGCCAGCATGCTAAAATCTTGGAGGACACGCAGTTTGTGGATGGATATAAGCAGTTGGGATTTCAGGAGGCTGCTTACGGAGAATTCCTCAACAGATTGAGAGAGAACCCTAGGCTTATTGCATCCTGCCTGGTTGCCGGAGAGAAGCTCAACCAGGACAACACTCAGGGTGTCATTCACACGGTCTTTACCTCCATTTATGGCAACTGCATCATGCAGGAGGACGAGAGCTACCTCCTCCAGGTCCTCCGTTACTTGATTGAGTTTGAGCTCAAGGAAAGCGACAACCCCAGGCGGCTGCTGAGACGAGGCACCTGTGCCTTCAGCATCCTATTCAAGCTTTTCTCTGAAGGACTCTTTTCTGCAAAACTTTTTCTTACTGCAACTTTACATGAGCCTATCATGCAGCTTCTGGTTGAAGATGAAGACCACCTGGAAACGGATCCAAACAAGTTGATTGAGAGATTCTCCCCTGTCCAACAGGAGAAGTTATTTGGAGAGAAAGGCACAGAAAAGTTCAGACAAAGAGTGCAGGAGATGGTTGACTCCAACGAGGCCAAGCTGGTGACCTTGGTGAACAAATTCATTGGCTATCTCAAACAAAACACTTACTGTTTTCCTCACAGCTTGAGATGGATCGTGTCACAAATGTACAAAACGCTCTCGTGTGTCGACAGGCTGGAGGTTGGGGAGGTCAGAGCAATGTGCACAGACCTTCTTCTGGCGTGTTTCATCTGTCCTGCCATTGTTAACCCAGAGCAGTACGGGATAATTTCTGATGCTCCTATAAACGAGGTGGCAAGATTTAATCTGATGCAGGTATGGTTTGCTTTAAAGTAGTCTTATAAAAAAAAATGAGTATGAGAATGTTCTTGGCCTTTTCCCACTAGAACTGCTGTTACTGCAGTAAAGGTACTGTCCCTCCTGCTGGTAAGACGAATGCTAACAAAGTATTTGTGTTCTCAGTACTGAAAAAGGCATGCTCGGAAGTTTTTCTGCTTGCTTAAAGTTCTGACCTAAAGGAACACATGCTATCCGTTTTTTTTATCTCTTGGAAAGAGTTACAAATACACTTTATAAAAGCTGTTACAGGGGGTGGAAGCTAAAGTGTAAAAGTGACTATAAGATGAATTCTGGAATGTGTGTAAATGGATGTTGAGCACAAAATAATGACATACTTTGCTGAAGAAACCTTCTTGCCTGGCAGAAATGACCATGGTTTCTGCTGTGGAGCTCTGCTGTTGGGTTTTTTTTTAGCCTTGGAGTATCCCTCAGCCCTCGTGACAAATTTTTGTCTTTGTGCAAACACTCGGGAATTTAGTGACAGTATGTGGAGGTGTTTTCTGAGGGTGTTGAGCAACACTCGTCTGACTGAGGATATTCCCTACACAAACCTGCTTTTTCATGTTGTCTCTAAACTGGACGGCGAGTGACTCTCGCGGTGTAATCGTTCTGGTGAGTTTGACTCACTAGGTTGTTACTGCGAGGCCTTGCCAGTGCTTTTCTGAAACACGTGGGCAATCCTCACCTCTGTCACGGCCCGCGTGTTGTAGCCGAGCTTGCACTTGGCAACGCTTGAGAACTGAGTTTTGCAGTTGGAGATCAATAAGGAGTATGTGCTCTGAAACAAGGGTTAGCCCTCTTGCTTTTTTTTTTTTCCCCTCCTCCAACATATTCTTAGTAAAATATATGGAGCCTTCAAAATCTCAAGGTTTAAGATGACCTAGATTCAACTCTCAGTTCTGACGTGTTCTAAAAACAAAACATACTTTGTTTCTGGGAAGAGGGGAGGATGGATGCTCATACCATACTGTGTGTGCACATTTGCTTG